CCGCCGCCTCACCAACGTTGGGCCAGGCTCCGATCACCAGATCTGCTTGGATCTCCCCAACTCGCTCCACCATGTTGCCTTCATAGTCGCGGGAGCGACTTGAGAGGATCTTCTCGGCAAGCCACGGCCCAAGCACCCGGCGCAGATCTTCGCGATCCCTTTCACCGCCTCTGCCTGCCGCGGGGTGACCTCCTCTGGCGGTGGCCAGCACACAGGGCTGATCCAACCACAGCAGTAGTGGAAGTTGAGGGCGTGCAGGGTGGTCTCAAGCACCACCTGGGAACAGTTCTCCACCACCTCTATGTTGCACGTGGCATCCACATGGATCGGGAGCAGGTCCTGTTCCCTAGTGGGCTCCGAGCCCGGGGGGGCTGCCTCGGTCTCCTCCATCCTGCGGAAGAACGCTCCAAGAGGAGTCGGGAACCGCCTGCCCTCATTCAGGAACCATTCGAGGAACTGTTCCCAGGTGGGCTTGTTACCCAAAAGGCGGCGGACCGCCGCCTGCAAGTGGCTGAGGTTCCACCACCCCGGCGCCGCATGCTTGGCAGCATGCTCCAAGGAGTCGCGCAGGGTATCCTCATCTTCGCTGACCCCAAGGGCCTCCAACAAATCATCATCCCATTCCTCTTCTTGTCCCGGACTCAAGGTCTCGGCCGCAGCCGGTGTTGAGCCCTGGGGCGCACCCCGTGCCTCTATGGTGGGGTCATCCGCCGGGGCCTCCTCCTCACCTTCTTCATCTTCGTCCCACTCTTCAGGAGGATCTCCATCACCATCAGGGTCGCCCGGGGGATCATCAGCTGGCGGTCTGCCGCCTTTGGCCTCCTTCTTGACCTTCTTCTCGGTCTTGGCCTTCGGGGGCTTCTTTGGGGCTTTTTCAGCCTCCGCCGCAGCGGGCTCTACTTTTGCCCCTTCTTTCCTTTCGCCTTTTTTGCCCTCGCCCTTTTTGCCTTTCTCCCCCTCGGGGGGCGTGGTCCGGAGCGGTGGCGGCTCGCTTTCGTCCGGGCGGGCGAACCACTGCCCCTTGCCCGCCCCAGCTCCGCTGGCCTGCTTCCTTCACTTTGGTCTCCAGGGCCAGCTGCCTCGCCGCCATCACTGCCTCGTCTGTCTCCATCAGGAGACTTCCTTCCCGAGGCACCAGCTCCAGGAACTGCGCCTTCAGCCAGTGATCGTCGGCCAGCGACGCTTCGATCGCCTTCACTCTTTGCGCGAGAAGGTCTGCGGCGCGCCGCGCTTCCCCTTCGACCACCAGGTCCAGCGCCTTGCACAGGGTCTTGAGTTCCCGTAGAAGGCGAACTCCCACCTTTGACCTGTACTCCGGCACCAGGATCGTGAGGAGGTAGCTCGTCGCCACCGGTGGCGCTGGGTCTCCCCGGGCTGCAAAGTTCAGCGCCCCCCCGTCCCGTGCGAGCAGCGTTCGCATCTTCTGCAGAAGACGAGCCGACAGTCGCCCCGGGTACCTCTCCGAGTACTCCAGGAGCTGCAGCTGACGGTCGCGAGACGAGGAGGCTTCGCGAAAAGACGAGTCTGAAGAAGACCCATCTTCGCCCAGGTCGACCTTGGCTCCTCCACCAAAGGGCCCTCGGTCCGCCTTTCGGCCAGCCTCTCTGGACCGGCTCCTTTTCTTTTTCTTTTTCTTCTTTTCCTTGGGCGAACTCTGGTCCTCAGACCGTCGCCTTCTTGGGCTCCGGCCCCTCCTGCCCTCCGACTCGGAGGAAACGCTGAGGTGGCCTGTTGGGTCCAGCCAGCGGCGCCGCTTCTTCTCGAGGGCGGCCTCTGCCTCGGCTGCCGGACCAGAGCCTCTCTCCCGCGCACGGGGTTCTTTGGCGCGTCGCTCCGGAGAGCGTTCACGGCGATTCTTCCGCTTATCCCTCCGACCCTGCCCAGGATCCTTAAGATCTCTGGCCAGGTCGTCGAGCTCTGCGGCAAGCCCCGGAGGCTTCGCTTCCGCGCCTGGGGGGGCACCCCAAGAAGGTGCAGCGAGACCTTTCTCCCGCTCTTTCTTTCCCCCCTTTGTCTCAGCCGCAGCTGGAGCTGGTGGCTGGCCACCCAAGCGATCTAGCTCCCACCTTAGATCTGCCGCCGCAGCGGGTTGGGTGAGCCACGGGGGCTGTTGAGAGGTCCCGAGCTCCGCAAGAGGATGCTCCGTAGGGACTCAAAGTGGAACTCCATGTCGGGGTGCCCTTTTGATCCCCTGCAGGTGGCAGGAGATTTGGCACAGACGTGGAAGGAGAACCACCTTTGCTCCGAAGAGCCCTCTCCTTCATCCAGCCACCATTGCAGGTAACCATCTGACACCGCGACGATGGTACCCGCAAACCATTCCCCATATCGGCCGGGGTTTTCCCGCTCCTCGATCCTCACCAATCCCATGCCCTGCGGGAGCCGTGAGGAATCGAGGAGCTTAAGCTCTACATAGTCTCCGCGCGCAGCGGGTAGGGCACTCCATGCACCCTGGTCCTCCCGTGGAAGGAACCAGGGTCCAGGCATCCTACCCTACCCTACCTACGCGGTCATGCTTGAAAGCAAAAGCTGCGCGCGCATGACGTCCAAAGCAAATGTCATGCAACGTGCGCGCCGTGGGTGCTCCTAGTGACCTAGTGCATGACAACGGCCCAATGTCCGCGCCGCCGACGGCATTCCTCTTGCTGCGAGGGGCTTGAGAGGATGCGCTGCTACAGGATATCGTCTGCAGCGTCTTGCATACCTCGAACAAAAGGCTGCCGAGCTCGGGCTCTCGGGCTCACAAAAGCTCAAAGACTCTTCGTCTGCGAAGCCCCCGGACGAAGCTCATGATTTGCATTGTTGTTATCTTTTCGCAGAGCCTGAAAACGTCCGCTCTGCCACTGGCAATTTCAGGCCTCCTCGACGAGTTCCTCGGCTTCTACCTCGTCTGTGTCCTCACTGGGGCACCACATGTCTAACCCTGCGTTGCAGCAGCACATCTTTCATTGGAGGCGCATCCAGAACACATATCAGCATACTTACCTGCCTATGGACCTATCAGCCTTTGCTATGAAAGTAGCTCTTCCAGTTAGAGTCCCTTTCTAGGAACCCAAAAGCGACAGCCTTGCACAACACAACCCTAAGAGACAAGGACCCCCATCTGGAGAACTACCCATGAAGCCAAAAGCGATGACCTCCCATCGATCTCCCCCGGTGGCAAGGTGAGAATATTCGTATATAGAGGCCTTAATAACTCCTATACTATTCTGGAAGTTCCTTGTTAGAACCATAGTATAACATATTATAACATACCCCAAACCCCTACTCTGTATTGGATTTGCTCCCCAGTTGGCCTCATGCAAGGTGCCACACAGATCTGGTGTTAATGCCTGCAGACAGCCAAAACTCCAAGGAAGGTCTCTGTCATTCAACCGAGCTGTTTGATGCTCCTTTCTTGGATAACTCAGGTTTGTGAACTTAAAACGGCTTTACGGACGTATGTTGGGAAAGGTCCAGGTGGGATTCAGAATGGAGAACTTGGTGCTGCAAGCAGCAACTGTCGTGACACCAGCAAGCCCTCAACAGCGGAACTTGCACAGTAGGGCTCCAAAACTCATCAAAATTCACGGTCTGTCTGCCGAAGCTACCTTCGAGACGACATTCCCAACTCCTGCCTCTCGCAGCACGGCAGCCATGCGACGCTGCTCGCCGCCTGCGCGTGCAGAGCGAAGGCGCCCAGCGAGGCTGCCGGGGACCTTAGTGCAGAGTGGCCCTGTATGGCCCTGTTCTTCCCTGTCCGGCAGCATCGCGAAGAACGCGAGACACAAGGCCCAGAATTCACTTTCAAGAGCAGCTCTGGTGCAGCAGGCTGGCTGGTACTCTCATCATCTTCACCTGTCAAGGCAGGGTCTTCTAAGGCGTGCAACAGAAGGTGTCTTTTGTCTGTGCAGAATGAAGTCAGGATGTCTCAAGCATCTTATTTAAGGCAAACACCGGAGATCCCAAGATCTGAGACTTTGCAGGTGCAGCATCCGTCCAAAAGATCTTCAAGCCTGGCTTATCAATTCTCCGATGTCCAACATCAGGGAATGTCTTCCGTGCATTACACCCCGTCCTTCTCGGTGCTCGCTGCGGGTGCCGGCGGCCACCATGCCAAGGCTGAGACGGCCGCGGCCAGGACTATAAGCAGCAGGCCATATGCCAAGAGCTCCTCGGAGTCAAGAATGCACCGAACAACTGCGAGAAGCAGCACCCCGTCGCAGCCGCTGGAAGGTTCCGGCGTATGCTGCCGCATCCAGTCAACTACTCGTGCCACGGCAGGAACAGCAGGGTTTATTGCCACCTAGCTGATGAAGGGCACTTAGCGACCCGGGCTATCTTCAAGGACGTTTGGGTACTTACTCACAATGATACCCTTACCATCACCAACCAACGGCTCTCCGGCATCCATTTCCACTCTCACTACATCCGGATAGTCGTCGCCGCGGTCGTCAATTACGGTTTCCATCATTGTCACCATCATTAGCTCAAAGGCCATCGCCAATGCCCGCACATTACGCATAATTATCATGGAAGTTCAGCTCCAAGGAACGAGCAGGATTAGGGGCACCAGCACGAGGATGCCCAAGGCAAATTTAGCGACCGCAGAAGGGAGCTTTCCATTCAGCTGGCCGCACAGTGTGGACGCCTGAATCCTCAGCTGGGTTTGGGAAGTGCTGAACTCCCTCAGTGGCTTGGCAGCAGGCACCGCTGCAGGCGAAACTTGCATCGATACGACACAAACGAGCTTGAAGCTGTGCCTGCCTGGAGCCTGGAGCACGGAGATGAGCCGAGTAAGCTCGGTCTGCCACCAAGGCTCATCACTGCGGCCGTCCACGTGCCCAAGGCATGTCAACTAAGCTTCCACAGCGTGTTCAGGAAAAAGTTTGAGCCACGGACAAAGGATTCGAGAAAGAACTGTGCACAACTCTTAGTCTGCCTTGGCACAGCCGCACCGTCTGACATTCCTTTTGCTGGCAAGCATTGAAGCATTTCCGAACTCGAGATGAAGTCGAGGCCTTCTGGCAGCAGTTGCAGAATCTCGTAGTAGACCGCCAGGGCCTGGCTGTTTTCCACGGCAAGATGTGGGAGTTTCCGAAAGTAGGGGACCCTATAGTACCCTAAATAGCAGGATCCTTGTTATAAGGACCCCATGTACCCTTAGCTAACTTGCGGACCGACACGAACCATCAGCACAAAATCGGAAAACAAAGAAATTTGACATCGCAATGTAGGCTTTTCTACGTCTGCCCCTGGCTGCACCAGCATTTTGGCTTTCTTCAGTTTCACTTTCAACTCTTCCAATCGGATTCTTCCCTCCTCTCGTGGAACCTTGTCGTGTCGTCACAGGCTATGCTCCCATGCCAATGGGCAAGTTGTCCCATGTCAAACTGTTGTTTGTCGCATCGGCTGCTGATTCGTATTTCGGCAACCGCTGCGGCCGCTTTCTCTGCTCTGAGCCGGTGACCCTGGCCCATTGGCTGCAGGATGTGCAGGAACTGACCAGGCTGCTGCAAGTGACCTTGGAAGCCGAACCGTACTCTCGAACAGCTTCAGTGCAGGTCAACCTGCGTGACCTCTCAACCCTTACAACAGGTCATGACAACTCTCTGACACAAAACCCATCCTACCCTGCCTGCCAGCCACCTCGAACCCTTTGCCCTCATGTGTCTCCAAACCGCTCGTCTGACGTGCTAGCATGTTTCGTTCAGCGCAAGTCGCATGGTTTCGCACATCTCTCTTCTCAGTGTTTGGGGCCCGCGCCACATCGGGCAGCAATCTGGCTTGCAGCATGACTTGTAGCAGCGCAAGCGCCTGGACCTGGCTGTGCGACGAATGACTAGGAATTTATGGATGATGACACTTTCAGGGATGTGCGCTCGTACATCCTTGTGGCACTGCCAAGACCTGTTGTTGAAGTTGACAAGCCTGTTGCAGAGCACTCGCTTCGTCGTGCCTCGCTATGCTTCAGCCCCACATGTCGTAACACCACCATCTGTTCAGCAGCTTCTCCAACAAACGACGATAACCGCGGCTATAAGAAGGAGTTTCTGCAATTACTTCTTGTCAAGTACTTAACTGACGGTTTGAACTCATCTTGGTGCGAAGACTTGCTCGACACGACGCACGATAGCGGACATGGTCGGCTCATGTCTCTTACCCAGATGTTGCGGCCCTTTCAGTTGGCACTCCAGCGCTTCGACGCGACTTAAATACAACGCCTGCATGTTTAGGACTCCTTCGTTGAGGTGCAGCTATACTGTGCAAATTTACAAGTATCACTCTGGTCAGAAGCTTGGCGGCACTGCCCATTGCAGGCGACAGGCATTCATTGCTGCCTCAGCCATCCGAAGCATGCCAAGCAGGAAACAACTCAAGTGGTCCTGGTCTTGGCTATGGAATAACTGTCTCGGGTCCAAAGTGAATCAAAGCAGAGTGTTGTGTTCCTCATCTTGCAAACTAAGGCTAGGCACATTGAAGGTCACAGCATCCAGTTGGCTTGGCGAAAGCTCTGCCGCGGCATCCTGCGAAGGCCGTGCTCACAGAGTACTGATCGTAGGCGCACTAACTCACCAACTCAACAAACTGTACCACATCTCCTCACTAAGCCCAACTTCCTGGGAGCACTTCAGTCTGGGGAACTGCCAGTTTTGTCATGTTTGCTTTTTATCTCGATGAAATTGATCTTCATGGTTGTGACATGGTGTCCACATCCGGCGCGGTTCTGTTATGCTTTGCACGGAAGGTGCACCTCCGATGCAATTCTGCCCACTCCTGAAGAAGGTGCAGAGCGCGAAGCCACTGCAGGCCTGGACGGGCAAGCTGCTTCTCTTCACCGACGTCCCAGCAACAATTCTTCAGGCCTCTCCGTGGCGCGCGCACACATACACGCTTAGATAATAACCCATCGCTTCCTCCAGCCAAGCCATGGAGGACAGAGTTGAGGCTGATGACGTCGGCAAGGCCAAGATGCCTGCCCAAGAGCATCTCACAAACTGTGACGGCGACAGCTGACAAGATATGTGCAGAGTATAGACTAACTAGACTAACAATCTCGACCTAAAGACTCTCTGAGCCTGACGCACATCTACATGTCTATCGTATGTACACATCTACTTGCCTGCTTGTTCATCAGTTGTTTATTTGTTAGTATGGCACTCTGTGATACCCTCCTTGAACGTAGGCCTGCAGATGCACGAGCACAGCTCTAGGAATGGATAGGTTAGTCAGTCGACTCGGCAGTAGATTTGATAGAAACGCAGATGGCAGACATCGAGTGCATACATACGAAATTTAGCATTCCCTGGCTTTTTCCTACCCTCACAATTCCAATCATCTCTCCGAAATCTTGGAAAGAGAAGCCAGAAAACGCATAAGCCCGCGACGTCATGTGCTGCAGACAGCCCAGAGCCATCTCCCACCTCAGTCGCTACCATCAACTATCCACCAAGGCACATTATACTGCCAACCTCGCCCGTAGCTTCTGCGTGCCTGCTTTCCCATACGCATGGAAACAATCTCCTGACTCTGACAATGCTCCAGCCGGGACTGCTCCCCGACTAAATCCCCTCATGTGGCCAGCCATGGGACGCTTGACCTTTGCTGCACGCTGCGATCATGCTGTTGTAGTGCACGGTGTTTGGCCTGGTGCCAAGGTATTTGGATCAGATGCTGGGAAGATCCCGTCTGACGGCGGTACATTCAAAGACAAGCGTGGACGGATATTGAGTTGAATGGGTGCAGTCTCGTGCATTGCGCCTCGCATCCATTTTCGACATGGCAGACACCAGACCTGAGTCCGATGAACCACAGCAGATCTTGGCGACATGCGGTGGCTGGGGGCGCAGTCACGAAAGCAGCTGAGATAGGACGTTATCATGTACTGCATGATCTACGCGGCTGCATACCAGTGTCCCAAGTTCCGTGCCTATCGCATCTTGCCACTTCGCAGCCCTGAGGTACAAAGGTTATGAGAAGACTCTTCGTCACTGACTGCTGTCACTGTCGAAGTTATGACTACGACAGCAACTGAAACGAAAATGAGCTCTTCTTCGGAACCTATTTACAACTACCTATGAAAGCTTAAGCAGCAAATGCCGCCACGAAGGTGCATGCGCGTAGCCAGCTTCAGAGTAGCCATGTGCATGGATATCGCTTTTCCGATGCCATTTTACGAGGAATGTTAGCGGATATGGGAGAATTTTGCAGAAGTTTTCTTCTTCGTCAGGCGAAATTCATGAAAATTTCTGCATAAGCAAAATGGTCCATGCCGGCTAGCACGTCCTTCGTCACGACTCACCACTTTTGTCCTGCGCAACTTGAGCCCACCGAGCCTTCGGTGGACCTTCCAAGAACAACCACCAACCCAAATGCTACAAACTTCGGAGCCTGGCGCAGGCCGTGACCCCAACGGAGAGAGCGACGACATCTGGCGTGCACCCGCGAGACTGCCATTCCTTGAAATCATCAGATTGAGATGGCCATGTTTCAAGGCACCCTCAAGGCTCCAAACTCTTCTTTGCCGAAGGCTCTTGCAGCTCTGCCAGCACTTGCCACCATGCACCCTGCCGAGCGAGGAGTTGCAACCTCCTGCGGGGTGGGGGGCGCATCTGAGCACGTGAACCAGACTACACTTGCACAAGCTGCACTCATGATAGCCTGAGAGAGAGCGAATAGTCGTCATCAGCCAAAGTTGACGTCGAAGAGTAGAACCCTGCACTTGGCACTTGCGCGCTTCGCCGTGCTCGCCCAAATCCCTGTTTCATGTTGTTGTCCTTCGTTTCTCATCACAAGACTCCCCAAGATTGAAAAGCAGCGTTTAACGATCATGCCAGGATCAGGGACTGGTCAGGTTGCAGGCGCCTGATGGGACTAGGGCGCTTTTTTCGTCTCCTGTCGTGGCTACCAGTGTCGGTTTTTTTTCACGTCAGTCAACAAGAATGCACATCGCCCCAGTGTGAACGTTGTGGATGTTGTTTCACAGAGTTGCACATCAGTGGTGAGAATCCGCATCAGCCTATGATGTTAACCCAGGCACGGATGACCCGTTTAGGCTCCGAGTCGTATGCGGTCAAATTCCAGGATGTGTCGCAGACGTTGGGGCTTCCAGCGCTTTTCATGGCAATCTAGAGTACATGTTGGCAACGAATCTCCAAGTAGACGCTATAAAGCGACGTCTCCCTTCCGTGGACATGGGGTCTCCCAAAAAGGAACAAAAAACTTAGATCAAAGGCTGCCTCTGCATGCTGGCCGTAAGGACAGGCGGTAACAATCCTCTCCTTCGCAGTTTCACCCGCTCGCAGCACTAGTGTTGATGCCTCTCTTCCTATTTCATGCGTATCTCGGATACGAAAGCAGCCGAAGTCTAGCTATAGAGGATTGATTCTGCCACAATCCGAGGCTGTCCGTTTGAGCCGTTCTGCTGGTTTCCAATGGAAGAAACTGCTGCGCACGAGAGGTCGTCCACCCGTAGTTGGGGTATTGGCAGGACAACTGGCAGAAGTCCGGCGTCTCTCTACCGTCGTCCTTGTGGTCCGCTGCAGTGATGACATGGCAGACCAGCCTCGACAGCAAAAGGGTGAATGAGGAACGCTTATGACTTGTGCTCAGGTCTAGCTTCGTGTGCTGCGGCCCCAACTGCGGACAGCCGCACCAAGGTCTTGCCGCGATGAAATTCACCATGGCTAACACCGAGGCTCCCCAGCGGCTCGCCAACTGTGCACACGAGGAAAGTGCTGTGTGCGGTTCCTGAAGCAGAGTGCATGTCGGGCTCAGGGTGGCTGCACAGCCACTGTGTAACCTCCGAAGCCACAACGTGAGGCTGATGTGGCGGTCATATTTGCACTGACCTCTCGTGCAGAAACCAAGAGAGAAATTCTAAAATCTAAAACCATCGCCCGATTCCAGAGGGCTCTCGCTAGCTGCAACACAGACGCAGACGCAAACGCCGACTGGCACCCTAAATGTCACCCCTTCGTCGGGTCCAAACGTTTTTCCTGAAGACGCAGAACTGGGTAGATTCGAGGCAGTTCGGCACCGCCGTGCCTCAAGCAAGCACATGCTCTAAACCCTACACCCTACAGCCCTACAGCACATAAGTCTTACTTGCTTCAAAGCCCGAGAGAAGGCAGTAAACAGAAACATCCCAGACTTCTGTAGTCTTAGAGTCTTGTATAGATGATCTCAGGTGTGTTCCTCTAAGAGGTCAGCTGCGGGTTTCAACAGCACTCCTCAGCGTGCAGGCCCTGGAGGCTGGACCCGGGTGGCTCAGCTCTATTTGCAAAGTGAGCACTCCATTTAATGGAGCTCAACATCGGACATCATGCCCATGAAGCGCGGCTTCCTGTGGCTTCCCGCGCTGTGCAACGAGACTACGCGATATTTTGCAGACAAAATAAAAGTGCCAGACAAAGCTGCTGACTGATCACAGGTAAAGCGGAAAGCGCAGTGCAGCGATGACGGCTCAGGGGGCGAAGACAACATGTCAGCGCCCTGCAGTGGCTGTCTGGCAGATGTTCTGTCAAGCTTTCTCTACTGCTCCGCGGGCTCCGCTATTAAGCATCCTTGAAAATGCTCAAAGCACAGTACTTGCATCGGTGACCTGTGCATGTCCTACGGCCTATAGTGGCTTCCGGCTCTGAGCTAGCAGCGGGAGAAACTCTCAGTCGTCATCACTGTCAAGCTCCTGGCAACACAGATCTTCAAGGTCCGCACAACCTCGATTCGACATCGTACGACGGAGCGAAGGCACGAGCTGTCCTGGATAAACTCCTGGCAATCTTCTACGATGATGGGGGATGCCTCTGCGGCCTCAAGCTGAGTGACCGAAAGCGAGTTCTCAAGGCTTTGGAGACAAGCCACCTCCATGTCCTCGGCTACGTTCGGATCAGCCTCACGGCATCACAAGGCCGGCGGGTGATGTGGGACACAGTGCGACACACTGCGATGCTGCAGGCCTGCAATTCCGGCAGCTCTTGTCCTGGGAATCTTCCGTCACGGCAATGCGACCGCTCTATTGCTTCGCTTCAAGTCTTTTGGATCCCCTCGGTGAAAGGCTACCTGCAGGCCCAGCCCTTCAAGGTCTGCTCAGGAACCGGCTGGAAGTGTGGGAGCTGTCGTCCTGGTGCGCTGGTGAGACATGCTGAGTGGTTTTGTCGCATCGCAGGGGGCTGCGACCGCGCTCCTCCTCCTCCTCCTCATCAGAGAAGTCGAGCTGGAGAAGGCGCTGAGCCAGCGAGAGCCCCTGCGCCTGGCGGAGGCTCCGCTTCGGCTCCGGCAGTGGCCAGTGGCTCGCCAGTGGCCAGTGGCTCCGTGGCGCCTTGTCGGCGTAGCGCTCCGGCTGCGAAGTGCCCGGCAGGCCCGGCCCGGCCTGAGATCTCCGCGCCCATCATCGCGAGGCGCTCTCGCTCAGGTGGCCCACGGGGCGCCTCCAACCAGGCCTCGCCGTCCTCCCGAGGCGATGCCTTGGGTGAGGACCCCAAGAAGAGGGCAACTTCTGTCTTCATGCGGGATTCACAGTGAAGTCTTGGGATGCAGGCTGGTATGCTCAGGCCCATGACTTCTTCGGCGGCCTGTCCGAAGGTGAGGCACACTCTCGGACTTAAGAATCAAGAAGCCTCGGTATAGCCCCGCTGTCCACGGTCTTATTACCACTCTTACTGCGACTACCACGACGGGGACTGACACCAACGAAGGCCGCCCACGAAACGGCCACGCACCGGCCTCTCCCAGAATGCCTACAGCAGCCGGGGTCGGCGCATCGAAGAGCAAATTGTTGGAGGGCCTGCCATGCAAATATGCACGAGCTGTTTAGACCAAGGGTGCCACACCTGGATATTGTGATCAGACGGAGCGGCGAAATCCAGGATTTTTTCAAGCCACATCTCAAATCAATTGACATTCAAGCCCCTGGGATTGAATGCAACGTCGTCTCCGAACTCGGTCGACGATGATGGGTTTCTGGAGTTGAAGTGAGTCGTATCCTCGCCAACTGTAGCCGGTGTTGATTCGATGCAGTCCAACTTCATAATTTGGCCCGTCTCGAAGCTTTTCGTCGTCAAAGCCAAAAACCATCAACATGTCACAGGGCCCACTCGTCTGTTGCCCTGGGTGCTGCTGTTCTACAGTAGGACCCAGTAGGAAGAGTCACAGTGTTGACAAGGCAGAAGCGAAACGATTGGCACGAGGTAGAGAGTGCCCCTTTGCCTAAACATGCGATCTGAGTGGCCCGGCCACTACATGTCATTATGACAGTTGTAAACATTGCAGAACACCAACATTGCCCGTGAGTACCGTGACCGGCAGTCGCACGCTCTCACAAGTCATAGTCAAATTGCCGCGGTGGTGGCAAAGATGCAGAAGATGACGATGCCCATTAAGATCTTAATCATGAAGAAGTGAAGAAGAGAATGCTGATGATATGCTGCCAGGGTTGGTGGTGGCCATGAAGGTTGGCGGTGGCGGCAGTGGCCGTCGTTGTGGCGGTGGCAAGTGCTTAGCTGGTTTCTGCTGGTGGAAATCACCGGGGTGACCACAACTTGTGGCTCTGTTGCAGTTGTTCTCCATCGGGAATATGACTACTTGCACCCTACTCCCAGGCCTTTGCAATTTCTTTGGCAAGCGGGCAGAGGGAAGCTGCTCAGTCCTGGCGGAATACCTGCCAAGAGGCGAAGGGCAGTGCAAGGGGACGATCACCAAGTGGGGCAATTCCTTTCCGATGGATTCCACAATTTAAGTCCACGGTCCCTGGGCAGAGCCGGGAAGTGGAAATGAGGGGCTAGCTAACGAAACCGAACCCATCCCGTGACTTTGCCAACATCAAGCTCTGTACAAAGAGTTGCACACCAAAGGGATCTGTGCAGGGCAAATTCACCGGATGCTTACACTCACAAAGCTTCTAGGCTCCGAGGTCCCGGCAAGCTCAAGTCCTCCCCGTCCTCTCATGAACGCTGAACTTCAGATTGCTATACTCCGGCCGCGACATCAGAATAAAGTCCAGTGGCAGTCAAGGACACTTCGGAATGCCAGGGCTTTGGCTTTGGCAAGCTGGCTGTCCTTGGTCTTGGGAAGGTCCAGCTTCATGCAATACGAGACCTGCATGATTTCACGCAGCAGGAGTAGATCCCTAGGGCCAAGGTGGTGTGCTCAATGAACCTCAAGCCAAGAGAGACGGAATTCGACTTGAAAAGCATCATCCGTGCATTCTTCACCTCCATAGGTTGCTCCATTGGCGCCATGAGCGCTTCTGTTACTCCAGCAACCTTGAAAATTGGTTGACCCCCTGCTGCACCTTGATCGGAACTGATTAGCTAGGGTATGCTGGTCCAGCTGAATACGGGACGTGTCACTTTGCATTCTCTACGAGGAGTGACTGCTGGCTCGATGCTAAAGCTTCGCGGCGGAAGGACATGCCCTTGCGTAAAATCGACCGGCTGTCGTGGAATCGATGTCACGCACTCGCTGACGTCAGGTTCATCAAGCACAACACGCACGCACGCACGCACGCACGCACGCACACACACACACACAGACACACACATACCCCCGCGAGCCATCATGAGAGCCTGAGTTCGCGCCTGCCCTTGCTTTTGGGGGTTGGGTTCGTGGGCGGCTGTCTTTGGGTGGTCTGGACAGCCCGAGCGGTGCTAAGAGTGACACAGGCCAGAGGAAGCAGCTGGCCACGGGGGCAGGCAGGGGATTGCCAGTCATGACCTGACTTTGCGCAATCTTTAGCCTCCTCCGGCACAAACTTTGCCTACGGCTCGCCAGCAAAGAAAGCTTTACGACAGAGGTGGATGAGGCTTTAGGGTGGGGGTTGGAGGTCTTCTGCTTGAGGTAGTAGACCACAACAGATGCTGTCCTGAACGCAGCTTCTCACTTTGTCGGCTTTCGCCTCGGCACATTGAACTACTATACGTCCACATCGAAAGCACTGCATTTCTCACTGAATTCATCTTGTGGCCGCAACCTCCCTAGACGAGCGTATGCTTAAGCGATGCCAGTGGTGTCAATGCACCGCCAATCCGACTGCGAGTGCACGATCAAAGACACTCTGAATCTAAACAAGTGCTTTGGTAGCGTGCAGGTGTATACAAACAAACGAGCTCAAGGCGAATATCTCGTCATCACTGCTGCTGATCTCATGCGACTATTCCCAACTACTGGGGTCCCTTCATGACTTCTAGCCGCTAGCTGTAATAGCTCAAAGAGGCATCTTCCATACTGGAGCATTGCACCCTGGAGGTCTGGGAAGTCTAGTGTGCGATGTAGCGGGGGGGACACCCGGGTGCAGCACCGCATCAGGAGCTCGTACATCAGCGTGGGCTCCTCATGTACGTAGGTGCTCCAACCGACTCATGACTCGCTCATGCCCACATGGGAGTTTCCCGAGCACTTTCCAGCAACTCCACGCTGGCAACATGTCTGAAGGCACAGGCTAACATGCAGAAGGTCCTGGATCAGCTCCTTGAACGCTGGAGTGGGCTTGATTTTCTCTTCGTTGGTGATGATGAAGTCCTCAGCTGTGGTCTCTTGGCACTCGGACCTTCCTTTAGAAGGATTCGAGCACTTGGACACTGGCCATGCAAATGTCCTTGAGACCGTCCGCCCGGTGTGCCTGGGGATTGCCATTCATGCTTGCAGTGTGTAAGGGCACTTTCCGGATGGAGCCACATCAAGAAGCCAGCTGGAATACACACATGTCGTGGGGATATGGAAGAGTTTGGCAGGCCTTTGCCGTCATCATGATCTGGACGACATTGTCGATGGAGATCGATTTTCGGATGATGTCCTCACATAGCGCCTGCAAACATACCAGTACTCGATGACCAATGTGGCACGGGCTGCCGGCTGCGACATCCGAGCTTTTTCCTTGCGCACATCTCATCACAGCCAGAATGGCCTTAAGCAGCTTGGGAAGGGAGTGATGGCTTGCGGCCGACAGTTGCTAGCAGCCGACAAGGGCTACTAGTAGCAGCTACAAGTAGCAGGGGAGGTGATCTTCCTGAACATTGCTGTACTCAAGGAAAGGCCTTCGTGATTCACTGACTTCCACAGCTGTGCATCTAGGCTGCGCATCATGTCAAGCTGCGTTTCAGCTTGATCTTGCATCTTTCTGCGAAGCGTGTCGAAACCATGGTATAATATAGAGCCTCCAGGATGAAGTCGGTGGGTCTTCGATCCGTGCATGTCGACACTTGCTTGTGTCTTTCAGTGCTTTTGTGACCCCCGTCTCCTGATCTGGCAATGGAAAACTCTTCTGGCAAGCTCAAGGACACTCTTTGTCCCGCCGCTGCCGGCGCCTGCAGTCGTTGAGTCTTGCTCTGCTTGGATACTCGGAGGCTGCCAGCTGCACGTCCAGCCTTCAAAATGGGCTGGCCGCGTCACGTCGGGTAAATCCCCGGCTCACCAAAAGGCACTTAAACGCCAACACATCCGACTTGTGCTAACTCCGTAGTGCTGTGTCCGCTGAGCTCTCTGCTTGGTCGCAGAGCGGCGGTGCAAAGGTTTTGACAGGTTCTATGAGATATGCTTGGTTTGTACACCAGGTTACCTCTCGGAATGCCCCAACCTTCAAAACCACCCGCTGTCAGCTTCCATTCACTCGGCATTCACAAGGCGTCTGCAGAGCCTGGCATGGGGGAACTGTGATTCATCGGTAGATGTTCACCGTTGAACATGATGCACATTGCGAGTGAGTGGATGATTCTTGCTCAGTCTTGCAGCTTGACATGGCGGCCTGACAGTTGCGCGGGTAGCTGTCAGCTATCTTGCATCAGGACGACCTGGCACCATACAGCACCGGCTGGGAAGTGCGATTCTGTAGACTGCTCCATGTCTTGTCCTGTCGAGCAACCACCGACACAGATCGCTCGGTCTCTGCGTGGCAAAGGACTCAACATGACGGGTGGACCCCAGCATATGCCTGCCATGCGACATGCCTTCCCTCCCATTCACCCAAACTGAAAACATGTGCAAACGCACCTTTGAAGAAGCTTACGGCCACAACGGCTTGCTGAGCTTAGTGTAAAAGCCGCGTGTAGTATCATGAAATCATGAAAGCCGTATTGACGATAGGGCAGCAGTCAGTCGTCATTGCAGATGTAGTTACCGTAATTTGTGTGGCAAGTGGTGGCAATGGCCGTGGTAGTGGCAATAGTAGTCTTTGTCGCCGTAGCAGTACTTGTTTCGAGATTCAGAGTTCGCTACTGCATTGGAGCCTAGGGTGTGGCACCACTGGCCGTCAGATTTGGGGGTCGATTCCTGACGAGATGTGTTCTGTCTGCGGGTGTCTCTCGATTCCACAGATTGCCTTCACATCCAGCTGCGGCCAGAAAGACTTACGTAGCCGTTTCGGCAATTGTCAACGCTCACACAATAAGCGAAAAGGAACGCATGGGCCTCCAAAGGTACCTCGAGGCAGTTCGGAAATCCGTGAGTAGGACAGCGCTGGGTCACCTGCATACGAACACGTGCGTACACTGCACATGTTGGCATCTCTGCGTCATTCGGTCTAGCAAAACAACCCCCCCCTTAGCATGCCATGCAACGCCTGCGATTGCAACTCCCGCCTGGATGTCGTCAGGAATGTTCTCCAAGCGGGGAGTGCTCCTCGAATATTGCAAAGCCAGTCATCTCTGCGCACTCTTGACCCTATTCGGTAGTACTTCAACGGCCCGGTCCCGCAAAGGGTGGGCCCACACCAGATGCGTGCGTGCACGTGCTGCGTAGGCGCAAAGCACAAGGTCAAGCTGTCTCGATGAAGATTCGAGCCAAGTGGCGCAGCAATGTGCCAAATTCGAGAGGGTGGCACCTGGTTGCAACTCAAAGTCGGGAAGCCCTGTTCTGGAGCAACTGGGAGGGACAGCTCGGGCATCCCACGCCGATGGTGTAGTGGCCGAAGTTGTGGTTGCGGAAGTTGAGGACAACAAGGGCTAGCCCTAGGGCACGGTCATGCTGAGAAAAGGTGAAGGCAGAAACTCTCCTCAAACAGTCTGGTCTGAGACCCAAGCGCACACCGCATGTTTTCTTGTTTCGGCTCTCCTGCCAGGATGACGAGTGCCATGCAAGCAATGACGATCACAACAGCATCCAACATCAGGTCCAACACGGAGGTCACGTGTGTGCTCCTTACTTCAGTTGTATGCACGCCCGCCATCCGCTTTTGGTGCCGCCACGTTGAGCCCCCTTGATCCATCCGTGCTTCGTCTGTTGAAGAAGTTGAACAAACACTTACGACAGGACGATGCTGCACGGGAACCAATACTTGCTGTTCACGTATCCCATGTCTGAAGGCTGTCCTCGGCTTCGTGCCAGCGAAGGTAAGCCAATACACCACCCTGGTCGTGGAAGATGTGGATCTCAGCAAAGCCCACAGGTGCCACCCTCTTTCGAACAACCTACCGGGCGGAAGGTGCAGACGCACAAGGCCCCTACGCCATCGCCCTGCAGCGGGCTTGCTGACGGTATGCCACTTCGCCCCACCCTGGAAGAGTCAGCAACGTACCCTATGGTGGACAAACGCTCTACAATCGACCGCCTCAGTGCAATCAGATCTTGGCAGAGCATCTTCCAGGCAGCCTCGGAGGGGTAAGTTTGAGCCAAGAAGTCGCGCGAAGTCGCGATGCTGCAGGACTCCGGGGATGCCACCGGGATCCCGGAAGTTTCCATCGCCTCGCGTCTCGCGTCAAGCCGTGGCATGTCATGGTCATGGCTGGTAGATGTGGCGTAGCTGGGCATCAGACTCGGTCCCAGTCCAAAGCTGGCCCGTTTGGCCAGCAGTATGGCTGGCAATCACCCACCTGATGAGGCAGCTGCTGAGCTGGCTCGGGAAGAATCTCAAAGGTTACCGAAGGCCTCCTGGCCCTGCAACAGCATGGGCACACCGGGGCAGGTGAACATCAAAACCAAGCCTGAGCATGCTTTTACCCAGCGAAACAAGAGCATTCGCAAAACTAGCAAACTGGCCTAGTGCCGCTCGTCTCCATGCAAACTCATTCGTAGCGACCTGATACCAGCTCTGACATGCATCGTGCGGGTTGAAGCTGCAAGGCTACATGCCAGAGTAGATGCAAATTTCCAAGACAGCAAGCTTTTGACATTCTACTCACTCAACCGACGTGTCCGTCCAGCCTCTTCGGGGTCTGGGTAGGGCAATCTTCCACCAGCCTCCCCAGCTGCTCGACATCTCAGATTTTCTTGCCCGGCCAAGTGACGCGAAGCTGTTGCATCTGGGCAAGGGACCTGCTGGAATGCATCGCCGCCTCCGCCCTGGGTCCGTCGAAGAGTCACGGTATTGATGACAGTGGTGGGCAGTAGCAATGTCTAGAGTGTCTAGAGACATGTCGACTCTGCCGCAGCTTTGGTACTCGGCACCTCGGCTCCCTCTTTCATGAAGGCCCGTCCGTTGTGCACAGCTGCCGGAACCTCAAACGGAACAGGGGATCTACGCAAAGGGCGCTCTTGCATGAACATATATGTAATTCTGTGTGTATGCATACATACCGTACCTGTCATGCATGTCGACAACTATCCATATTTGTTTGCACACAAACAAACAAACAAACACACACACACATACATACATACATACATACATACATACATCTGCTCTTTCTGCTCTTTCGGGCTAAGAGTCGGTCGACGCGGCCCTTCTTGGGGTTGCAATTTAATTAGGTGAAAAGGTGAAAACCGGCACTAGTCATTCCCCCAAGTCGTCACCACAGTTGCCTAGCTCAATCCCACAGGAGGACTCGCGCATTTGAAGTCCAGGCAGGCGCAGGAGAGGAAGGAGATGTGGTGGGACCGGGCGAGGGAAGGCAAGCCGGGTAGGAATGCCCTGTCTCCAATGTCCGACGGCAGTACGGATGATTTCACAAGCAAGCTCAAATCCAGGGAGCTGGTCGGTGCAATGCCGAAGAGTGTCTGGAGGGCCGTCTACGGTAAGTCCAGGGAGGCCATAGACTGACAGGCTGTAATGACACTCTGGATCGGCATGGGCAAGGAAATCGACAGTGCCGCCATGGAGGACCTCTTTGAGAGTCTCCTCATGCGGATAGTGGAGGGACCTTGATGCTGGCCGTCGAAGCGGAAATGCCGCCGGTAAGTGCCCAACCTGGATCCAGATCGTATCAGGGCCTGGTGGCAGCGTCCTGGGCCATGCAATGGACGTGAAGCTCATAAGCTCGAGATATAGGCCACTGTGCTTGTACGTGTCGGTGGATGTTGTGGATCCCGGCATTGCAGTCACAGGGACCAGCCAATCGACAACGTCATTTTGACAGAGCCAAGCCGCAGCAGTGGACAGGCGGTGGATGGTACACACCGGCGCAGTCTGTGAGGGGAGCTGCAGGAGTGTCTGCCAACACCAGGCAGTGTGTCGTAGACGAGACGCTTGTAGACATACGCAGGAAAAGGCAGTGCGCACACGGGACCACAAGGCCTCCTCGTCAAGGGACGAAACAAGGCCATCATGGTCGAGGTGGGCTAGGCAGTCTAGCACCTCAGCGGAGGGGCGTGAGGCTTCCTCTTCCACAACAAAGTGTACTGGTCCCGGGCACGGACCAGAGGCCTGCAGTGTAGGTACCAGAGCAACGCCATCGTCGGTAGCCCGACGGCTGCCGATACCTGGTTCAGGCGTGCTGCGTTCCCCAATGGAGAGCAGCTTGCGTCTGCAGGGTAGGCTATAACCTAGATGGCGGCTGAGCTTGACAGCGGAGGTGAAGTGCTTGAGGCAGACTGGGCACTGGGATCCTGGAGCAAGGCGTCGCATCTCATCTGTACGCCCGTGGGTAGAAAAGGCATGTACAGACCACGCTCTGTAGTCGCGGAAACGTTTCTGGCAAATGGCACAGCACTCCTGCGAAGGAGGGTCTGCGTCGAACCCGGTAGAGAGAACAGCCCCAGCTTGTTGGAGCTGGCGCACAAGTAGTCCTTGATGTTTAAGGAGGGCTGCTTGCCAGCGCTCCTTGGCGACAGCACAGGCTTGTGCGCGCTTGACTCTGTTCTTCCACTTGCCGGGTCGCAGCTTGGCTTCCTCCGTCCAGGCGGTCCAAGCCTGTTCCCAGGTAGGGAAGGAACGTTGTGGGTCGACGTGGCTCCACAGCCATCGGACAGAATCAGCGACTTGTCGGAGCCAGGTGCCCTCCCAATGGGCTAAGGCCCACACCTCCGGTACCGCAAGTGTGATGCAGGAGAGCAAGTATCGCAGGCGGTACACGTGGAGGTATGTTTCAACGCTGGGCATCCCGGCAAGGGAAAACACTTGAGCGGTCCCGAGATGCCATGCCTGTTCAACACTGAACGCAGGGCGTAGCATTTGGCACGCCATGCCACGCAGGGTACCCGTAAGCTTTTGGAGACACGCCGGCGTGGGGTCAGGCCACGTACCCGAGCCGTAGAAAAGGGTAGTTGCTACAAGGCTGTCGAAGAGCAGTGCCTTGTCTTCGCGACTGACCTCGGGTGATGCAAAGACTTTGCGCTTGCGCAGATTAAAGGCGGTCCACGCCTGTGCCGACCTGGCCTTGACCTCCCTGAGTAGGCAGCCTTTGTGATGGAGGACGCCTCCTAGGTGTTTGTATGTGGCGGTGAGTCGGAGCTTGGCGGTGGGCCAAAGGCGGCAGCTAAGCGGAAGCTCGCCACCGTGCTCAACAAAGAGCTGTTGCTTGGCCTTCCTTGCCCCAGTGGCGCGCAGGTGGACAAGGGCCTCAGTTTTGCCGCGTGCAAGGTTGGGGAGGAGAGCATGCTCCAGGCATGCGTCTAGGAGGATAGACGCACTATTGCCAAGGCAAGAGACAAGACTATGGGAGTCTGTGGCACGAATGAGCAGGGAGAGATCGTCCATCCAGGTGGCGTCAAGCAAGGTAATTGAGTCACAGGGAGGCTCTGCAAGTGGGGTCAGCCGCCCCACCATGTCTGGGTGCCATGGGATCTCTGGCATGTGCCCGCCTCTGGCTAGGGTAGCGCGCACCTGTTTGAGCACCTGTGCGAAGAGCAGGCTGAAAACTAGGTCGGAAAGCGAGTCGCCAGGTCGCGAACCAATCGCGGTAGAAACAATCTCCTCTTCGTCAGGGAATCTGAACCACGTATCGTGGAGCGATTCGTCGAGGGCCCTGGCGGACCACGGGGAAGCACCGGCGGCAGTCGCTAGCCCAGGTTGCTGGAGGTGTCTCTGGATGTCATGATAGACACCGCTCGGGAGATTAACCGCTCGGCAGGCGGCGGCAATCATGTCATCAGTGAGGGGACCACCGGTGACAAGCGGCCTAACGATTCGATAAAATGCTTCTTGTAAATCGAGGAAAAGCACGCTGTGGCACAGACCGCGGCTCAAACAAGCAGATTGGTAAAGTCTTGTGGCATGCGCCGGCAACGTCACAGGGAAGCCAGGCAATCCTCCTACCTGGAGCGGCGATGTAACTGTTCCTAGAGCAGTCACGCACTTCTTCCTAAGAAGTTTGTGGAGAGATTTGCTCAACACCGAAGAGACGAGTATCCCCCTGTACGAGGTGCAGAGCTGTCTTGGACCTTTGCGCTTGTAGACGCAGTGGAGTATCCCGCCCTTGTGTTGGACGGGCTCCGCGAGCGTGAGCAAGGACTTCAGCTGCAGCTGGAACAGTGGTTTCGCCAGCAGGGGCGCGCAGTAGTGAAGGAGCTCACCAGGGAGTCCGTCGAGCCCATATGCACGGTCTGTGGAGGTATCCCGAAGAGCCCATTCAAGATTACCAAGGGTGGGCGCATCGGCATAAGAAACCTCGTAGTCTTCAAGCGATTTGGCCTGCTGCCGGCGGATGCACTCATGCACAAGATCAGCGGGAGTGCGCTGTGTCCCTGCCTCAATGGAGGAAAAATGGTGAAGCCAGCATCGTTTGGCTTCCTCATGTGTGGAGGCCAGGGTGCCGTCCCGTTGTTCAACTGCAGGCAGGGGACTGCGGTCTCGTTGCTTGCGTTTAGGACCGCCTGTGAGGGTCCGCAGCCGTTGTACAGTGCACTGAGTGGGTGAGGTGGCCGAGGCAGCTGCAGTGGCACTGATGTGAGCGAGGTGATCCTGGCGGATGGCCTGTCGCAGTGTCTGGCTGGATTGACGCAGTTCTCCTAGAAAGACAGGCAGATCCCTGAGCGACCAGAGAAACGGAGCAAGGCCGGAGAGTGAAGAGACAAGTAACCCTCGGCACGTGTGCCAAGCACGAAGGGCGGCTCGTAGCAGCCAAGAATAGAGAACCTTGGAAGCACCTTTGACACGCTTCCTCAGCCATTCCCGTTTATTGCGTAATTGCCACGTAGCAGGGCAAAAATACTCGTGTCTACATGGGGCCCGCTGAGTTGGAAAAGCACTGGCAAGCTTCTCGCGAAAGTAAGTGTCGATCGCCTGTGCATGTCTGTGGACATCAAGGTGCCAGGGTTGCAATGGCACATTCTCACAGATTTGCTTGAGTGCTGTTTGCCCTTCCGGGGTACGCATGGCGGCGGTATTAAGTCGACCGCGGGGGCGGCGAACAGCACGTCCGGTGAGGAGTTCACCTTGCACCCAGAGTTGTACCGCAACATGGTCAGTGCGGCTCTGTCCCCAATCCAAGGCAGAATTGATTGTACTGCCGCCCCGAGGGACCTGCCAGGCAGCAGGGATGGCGATATAGTCAAGGCGTGCCGAACCAGTGCCATTTGGTGAGTACCAAGTGGCGGTCTCACCAGGGTGACACGCCTCAAAGGTACATGGCAGCCAAAGGGCAAAATGATCAAGCATGCGATAAAAGGCCGATGGGGGGTCAGGATTGGGGGTACCCCAGGTCAAGTCGCCAATGGCAGCTGCATGGCTGAAGTGCATGTGGAGATTGTAGTCCCCAAACAGGACGAGTTGTGCATCCTGTGTGACACGCCTGAGAACTTGGAAAAGGGTTGTCCACCAGGTATCCCGGTCGGGACTGGCACTGTGAGGTGCGTGAATGCAGACAAAGATGAGCCGTAGAGAGAGATGTGTGTAACGGACTGCAAGTATCCTGGGTGTCCAGTGGACCGCTAGGAAACTGCCGGGTCGGAATGGCACCGATTCCCCATCAGGGTCGGTAAAGAGTGCATGTCGTCGACTAAACCAAAGCTCGACACCACAAGACCCGTCGGCTGCTTTGGCGCTAGTGAACCTTATGTGGCTTGCCGAGACATACGTCTCGCTAGTAGGAGAGCGTGTCTCTTGGAGTGCGGCTACACATACTCCCTCCTCATCAAGTTGATCCCTGAGGAAGCGAGCTCTCCCAACGAAGCCCTCTGGGTCACTGGGGCACCCTTCAGCAGACTGATCCTGAGGGTAAAGTGTTTGAACATTGACAGTCAGGAAACAGGCAGACAGAGCACCTCGTAGAAGGCCCTGGCAGGGGGGGTCGTCGGAGGTCGATGGCAAGCCGAAGTAGGCGGCACACTCACCGGGAGGTGGCAGTTGCACTGGGCCACATGGGTGGGACACCAAGCACTGTCCA